CAAGGTTTAATATTTTAACAAATTAAACTTTTTATTTAATCAAATTTAAACCAGTTTATGGATTTATTAAATATCTTTTAATTAATCATTTAAATAAATTAATAATAAGATTTATAAGGATAATATTAATTAATCTTATGATTAATCAATATTTTATAGAAGATTATCTTCTAACATTTAAGGTTTTATTTAATTATCTAATATAAGAAAAATAAGGATTTCGCCGATTTTAAAAGAGATAATTACCAAATAATAACCATATAAATCAAATTAGGTAGAAAAATCTTATATTCTAGAAATATTGTACTCACATCATGAGCATTAAGTCCCATGTCGTGAGATCAGTCTGACAAAAAAGAAAATTTTGATTTCTATTGTGCTCAGGTCGTGAGCATTAAATTCTAATGACGTGAGATCAGTCTGATAGAAAACGAAAATTTGTTCAAGTTCAAGGAATGTACATTCAATTGTTAAGCAACCATACGCCCTGATACCACTGATGGGTTTAACATGCAATAACACAGATAAATTTTTAACACTTAATAGTACATGCAACCTATTAGATCGAGGTCATAACAATATTGAAGTAACATTCTATTGAACAACAAGAACCCTATGAACCCTAGATATTTTTTGAAATTGACAAACAAAATAGAAATTACATACCTTTTTTATTGGTGTGTTAAAAAATCAAAAAAATCTTTTCTTCCTTGATTTGGAAGGTAGCACCATAAGTGTCATGTCTCTAATGGTTCACACCCAAACCCTAGCAACCAAGGAAACTTGAAGAGAGAGAATTAAAGAGACAAAATTCCGGCTATATTTTTAAGGAGTCAAGTAGTCGAAATTTAGAGGTTCTGAGACGCTATTTTTCGTTGACCAATAAACCTTAGATGACCTTTACTTGATTAAAATAATTATATCTTAAATCAGTTAATTATCTAGTTTCGTAATTATCTCTAAGGAATATTCTAGAAATCCAAGAATCACTCTAAAACCATCCACCTCTCATAGAGAAGGTTCTGGAACCCTTTTCTTCAATTATTGAACAATTACAGCTTAGGTCATTATACTTTTAATTAATCCAATTAACCCTAAAATTAATCTAATTAATTTTTGGTTAATACTTAATTAAATATTATTATTTTTAATTAATATATTATTTTCATAATATATTAACAAGTCATTTATTTTGATTTCTAATTAATTTATTAATCATTTAATAAATTAACAAATCACTCTATCTGTCTAAAATGTTTTCCTGTTCAGTTACTAGGTTTGAGGGCAACCCAAAAAGACTATGCTACCATGAATTCAAGTATATACCAATTATAGTAATGGGCTTAGACACGTAATCCTACAGTTCTTTTAAGAACATAGAAGTAATCCGTCAAAGGATCCATGAGGGGTAAAGGTGAGAAGTATGAGATGAAAAAAGAAAAACAAGAGAAGAGCCTGCATTGAGAATATGGAAGAGTAT